AGGTAAATCTGTTATACTTTGACAGAACTTCCTCCACGATTCTCGTTTGGCCTTTCTGATGGCCTTGTTGTACTCCGTTGGTGACTTGCGGTATTTGTCCCAGCAGCCTAATTCTTTAGCTAGATTGAAGAGATGTCGAACTTCTTTTCGTTTTTGGTCAAGATTTCTGCTCCACCATGCAGTTTGCCTTAGATCTTTTCTCTCCTTTAGTTGTCCTGACAACAGTCATAAAGCCATTTTTCATTTGATCATTCGCCACTTCAAACTAATCCATAAATGGTCTATTAATTTTATCATATGATTTTTACATTTCTCGCATTTTATAAGGCTTCTTTAAAACAAAATGAACGTTACTAGCCAATGCAGTTGTTTCTTATATGGTATTTTTTTTGTCTACTGTCCCTCATTTCGATTTTAAATCCTGACAAAAATGTTTTCTGTATACTCAAAATGAAGAAATTTTACTTTTCATCTACCCGATATTTAATTTAGATGATAACATAAGTTGTAAATGAGTTGCTGACGTACGAGGCATGAAAAAAATGGGAAAAACTAGTTAGTTTTACATTTTATTGGACAACATACAATTAAATACACACAATTAAAAAAATATTGATAGCAAATTAACCATTTAATAACGTTCGTATCGTATTATTTAAACAAATTAGGTAGGTATACTTACTATTTTTACAAGTTATAGATACATTTTTACGATTTTAGATTATTTTTAAATCTAATTTGAAAATACGTCATCTTATACGTACTCGTAATAAATAAATGCTACATCTCGTAATAGACCAGGGCCGAAGCCTTCAAAAATAGTAAAAAATGAAAAAAAATTACAGTAGGATGAAACCCATTAGAAAAGCAGGGGAATATGATCAAAATGAAAGGAAAAATAAATTACGGTCGATCCGAGTTCGGGAAGTGGGAGGGGGTGAGGTTTTAAGGGTGAAAAATTGTTTATCTTGATTTCCGGCAAAACTACAAGTCCTATGGAAAAAAGTTAAATGGCAAAGTTGTAGGTCATAAAAAGATCTACAACTTTTGTATTTGCAATTTTTTCACATAACCTCAAAATTTAGGTGAAAAATTCAAAAAACCAAGTTTTTGGTTTTTTATTTATATCTTTTTCAAAAAAAAATTGTTTTCTACGAAATTTGGTGAAAACTTACCTTATTATGTCCCAGATATACTGTAATTTATTTGATTAAAAATATTTATTTTTTCGCCTCATTTTAACATAATATCAAAAAAGCACCCTAATTTTCAATCGAAAATTCTGACGTCAAAATTTCAGCTTTTTTTAAAAAGTTTGGGGGCTTTTTGTTCGTTGAAATATCTACTTTCTGATGGTGTAAAAAAATATATACATTACTATAGGAAATATTATTAGAAAATGCAAAAAATTGAAAGAACCTCAAATTCGAAAATTTTTTTTTAATCACTATGTACAATTTTGAGGTATTTATTAAAATTTACTCTTTAATTACTCAAAAAACGTAAGATTTCATGTTTTGTTGATAAACGAAAAAATTGCAAATTAAAATATACTTCTATAATTAACAAAGAAATAAGTTAATAAAGTTAATATTTAATAAGACATCTACAATATTTTGAAAAAGTTGTAGAATCTTCTTTAAATAATATTTGTTGATGCCTATTTATTGCTGTTTTAAGATAATTTATATACCTGAGTGACCTTCGGTGAATTTTAGCCCATTGTAAGTTATTTCATTGAGAAGTGGGGACGGACCTAGGAGGGTCTGGATTTGCCGGAAAAGGAAAGAAAAGTATCGTTAATTCTATATTAGACGCGAAAAATTTGTCAAATTTGGCCAATGTTTTTTACAAAAAAGATGAAAGTAAAGAAAATATAAAAAAAATGGATTACAATTAATTAAATCTATTTATAAATGTAAAAAAGAAAAATTAACACTGAATCAATTAAGGTTTCAAAAATATCAATTGGCAAAAATTAAATCATCCTTCATTTTGGCAAACCTCCCACCCACAGAAGGAGCAGCAGAACAACATTGTTACAGAGCATATTATCAGCTTCAAACTTGGTTGGGTAACGAATTGACAGCAACAGATTGGGGCTGGAAGCAACATCAGCGTGGCATTATGCCCAAATTTACAGAAAAGGATTTAATTCCGGAAGTATTGCTCAAAACTATTTGCTGCAGCTGTGAAACTGGATGTAACAGTTTAAAATGTGGCTGCCGAAAACATGGTTTAAAATGCACAAATTTATGCACTAATTGTCATGGTTCTGAAAATTGCTCCAATATGGAAGAAAAAATCTACGAGGAAGTAAATGATTCAGATGAAATTGTGGATGAAGAACCAATGCAGACTGGAAATAACATTGGAGACGAAGATGATGGTCTTGAAGATTTCGACGATCAACTAGAGTTGGAAAGATTTGTCGAATCTGACGATGAAGAAATGCCTCCAAAGAGACAAAAACTAATGAATAACTGATTAGAATTTCAGATAAGAATAATTTTTTATGATGTTTTCATTCAAATAAATTGAGATTGGGGGGTTTCAATTTATTTGGTTGATAGTTGGTTAAACTTGATTTGTAATAATTGTTTATGATGTTTTCATTCAAATAAATTGAGATGTTCCTAGTATCAGAACTCGCTCCCCTTTTTATTTCTATTTTCAAACACCCAGGACAAATATTTTAAAATTTTCTCCAATGTATTTTATGTATCAAAATTTTTGTGAACTTCAAAATGATGTTGATTTATTTTCTATTTCAATTAAAGAAATAAAACGCTTAATTGTGGACTGAGTTAATTATCATAAGACGACGTAATTTTTTCTCCTAACGGAGTTTTTTTTTGCGTTTTCTTATGATGGTTAAAAACGTTTATTAAACTATTTTTTGTTTACATATTTTTATGCTATTATTAGTATTTAATATTTTGTTATCATTTTTATGATGTAAATTATACTGTAATTGTAATTATTTTTGTGCCCATCCTGTAATTGGTTTTATACTGTTGGATGGTGTAACCCAAATAAATAAATAAATAAATAAATAAATAAATAAGGTATTTATAAATAACAAGATTAACGTTTTTAAAAAAAAATTAACGAATAACGTAATCAGAATTAAGTTTCTAAATTCAATAGTACGATTTACATGTATATTTATTTTGTATGAGATTTTCTATGACATGAATGTAATTCGAGTAAAATAAATAAACTTTTTAACTAAAAAAAATTGCAGCAATCACATTTTTTTGATGAAATTGTACATAGTAATTAAAAAAATTTTCGAATTTGAGGTTTTTTCAATTTTTTGCATTTTCTAATAATATTTCCTATAGTAATGTATATTTTTTTTTACACCATCAGAAAGTAGATATTTTAACGAACAAAAAGCCCCCAAACTTTTTGAAAAAAGCTGAAATTTTGACGTCAGAATTTTCGATTGAAAATTAGGGTGCTTTTTTGATATTATGTTAAAATGAGGCGAAAAAATAAATATTTTTAATCAAATAAATTACAGTATATTTGGGACATAATAAGGTAAGTTTTCACCAAATTTCGTAGAAAAAAATTTTTTTTTGAAAAAGATATAAATAAAAAACCTAAAACTTGGTTTTTTGAATTTTTCACCTAAATTTTGAGGTTATGTGAAAAAATTGCAAATACAAAAGTTGTAGATCTTTTTATGACCTACAACTTTGCCATTTAACTTTTTTCCATAGGACTTGTAGTTTTGCCGGAAATCAAGATAAACAATTTTTCACCCTTAAAACTCACCCCCTCCCACTTCCCGAACTCGGATCGACCGTAATTTATTTTTCCTTTCATTTTGATCATATTCCCCTGCTTTTCTAATGGGTTTCATCCTACTGTAATTTTTTTTGGTTTCAAAAATTATCGACCCTGGTCTATAAACTATAGGCTCTAGAATAAAAAGTATTATTATTCTCTTTTTAGATTGGATTCTTTCCCACATTTAATGTTTTCAGACATAGTCAAACTGTATCACCATTTTACGCTTCTGTATCTCCATTAGGAATAATTTTCAGGAGATTTCTTGCACTTGAAGAAGAAAAAACCAAGAGAAACTAGCTACATAAGAGAATAAATTCTTATAGCATATTTCTGATACATTTTTAAATTCTTTTTTAGTCTAATAATTCAGGAAAAAAACTAGAATACATTTCTGAAATATTACTAATTAATATTTCTAAAAGATTTCAAATTTTCATTTCAGAAATATTACTGTGAAATATTATACTGACAAGACATTTTTACATTTCAGGCACAATTCATAAATGTTTCTGGTAGGTTTCGTAGTATTTAAATGTTTTATATGTTTCAATGTAACATTTTAAAAATATTTCTGAAATGTGTTTGTGATGTATGGGAAAGCAATGACAGGGGCTCCCTACCAACCAAGATTAAAATTCTTAAAATCTATGAGCCTTTTATTAAAAAATATATTATGCTAAAAAAGGGAATTGCTCTTGACAATTCTCCCGCCAACCCCAAAAATTTCCGCTTGCAATAGCATTGTTTTGGGATTACAGCTGAGTCATTCATTTTACTTTTAGCCATATGTTGAAAACTGTACGACTCATATAACTATTAATATTTTTTTAAGTACCTATTCACTTAGGCTTAATTCGTAAGCTCTGTTACTGTTTTCCGTCATCACTTTAGGAACAACACTCATAATTTGAATCTAACAGTGAATGGTCAAGTAGAGAATCCTACCCATGCGTTAGATTAAATGTTTAATTAAATAAAATAAATATGAAAAATCCCTACCCTAATATACTTCTTTTTATTTAGTGACGAGCCATAAAAAAATACATTAGTAATAATAATTAAAAATTATTTAGAACAGGTAAATGTTATTAAAAAACAAATATTCACATTATCTTTATTTGTGATGCGGCTATCAATATTTTGAGTTGTATAATCCTTATAAACATAAATTTTTGCATAAAAAAAAAGGAACTTACTCAAACCGTTTGCCAGAGGCCTTTTTCATAGTGGAAATATTTTGAAAAATTTTAATTTATGTTTCCAGCACATGAACCTTATCAAAACGATCTGACACATATTGCCCGGCTTTAGCACAACACTCCGTATATCCTTTGGTGGTACATTCGCACAAAACACACCACATATTACGACCCATCAACGGTCCAATATCATTTTCTCCGTCCGATCCTGGCTAAGCGCGAATTTTCGACGTTTTTTTGGTGGTATTTTGACGATTACGCGCCGATTTTTTTTTGCAAATTCGCCGTGTGAAAAATGACGGACAGCGTGCGTACGCTCTGTGTGGAAACAGCCCACATTGGTTGGAGAGTTCAAGTTCTAGTTGCCGTTCTAAAGTGTACAGAACGTTGCCAAGTTGTGCATGTTAGATTTCCTGAAGATGTACATTTATTTGTCTCGTAATATATAAAATACAAAAGTAGTTATTTCCCAAAATGTTTTCAGAAAATAGTAATTTACGTTACAAGACCGGAAAGTAGTGTTTTACAGGTCGAGACAAGCAGATTCCAGGGCGAGCCGTAGGCGAGTAAAAGTCAATATTTTTTTTAATACATTATTGCTTTGATTTTTCAAATGAAATCCCTCTATAAATTATCTCAAAAATATTTTCCTATATTTATCCCACCCAACCTGCAATTTTAAAGTAAAATTTAATCACATAATGAAGGTTAATCAAAAAAAATACATACTTCTCGCAAGAAAATAGCAATACGTTAAAATGAGAGAAATCAGTAAATTTAGATAATATGCAAATGAGAATTTATTATTTTATTTTCTACCCCGTTTATGACAGTACGTCACTGGTAGACGGGAAACACTTGTCGCCATATTCGTCTAGTTCACTCTCAAAATTAGATACCATCGCGATTCGAAGGTTTCAGAATTCCTCCTTCCTGACTATATTATATTCTAAGGATCATCCATAAGTAAATAAAGAGATGAAAAGTAGGTCGAACTGGGAGATGTTTTTTCTTGGTCTAGTACATGCAATGTTTGTGTTTTGTCTCAATTGTGAGTGCTCACTGGTAAACAAACCTTTTACAGAACCGTTTTCAAAGAAAGGTTAGTCTAGTTTTTGTTGTCATTGTCATTGCTCAGTCGAACATTGAATTGTTTATTTTATTGTGTTTTAATTATACAATTTTTTTTAATTATTTGAATATTTTGTAAATTAAGATCAAACAATTCATATTAGAAATGCAGGGTCCATAACACTTTAGTGTCACAAAAAATAAGCCATTTAGAAAAAAAAATAGAACCATTTTGAATGTAGTAGAGACTAATTCTTTACAAAAAAGTGCGGATTTTTTCAAAATATAACCATTTTTTTCTAACCTCAATTTTTTTATTTTTTGGAACATGAGTGAATTGTTCGCCGAGTTCAAGTACGAATTTTGCAAAAATTTGTCAACACCCAAAAATAACTAGTTTCTATAGTAAATTTTCGCAAAAAAAAAAATAGAAAAACAGCATTTTTCGAGAAAAATATAATGAAAAATTGAAGTGATCTAAAACCATATATTTTGTTGTTTGGAAAAATGCAGTATGTTTACCTATAGAGAAACAATTTAAAAAAAAAATATTTTTCGTCATGAAACATTTTTTCCATATTTGCACAAGAAAACATCACTAACAAAAAAATTGAATATGTGTCATTATGGAAATATCAAAATAATTAAAAAAAAATACGTAACCGAACCCACGTAAAAAATTAATTGAATGTCGCCTGTAATGAAAACATAATTTTTTAAATAATTTGCTTCCCGGCCAACTGACACAGATCAAAGAATATACGTTCTTGCTTCTCAGCTTAATATCGCTACTTCTACCAAACAAACCTAAGTTGCCTTATCTATTGATTGTTGCAGTAAACACAACATAAAATTTAGAAATATTTATTGATTTAAAATGCAATATGCTCATAAATAGTTTTTAATAAATAATCAAAAAAACACTTAAAACCTATGTAAAATATAAAAACACAAATAAAATTGCGATAAATAAAATCAAATTCTCGACAAACGCACAAGAGAGCATGCGCGAATCTAAATTACTACGCTTTTATCAAATAATAGGTAGTTTTCAACATCCGCAATAAAAAATAGTTCCAACTTGGAAAGGCCATATTTTTGAATTTTGACTATAATCCGCAATTTTTTTTCCAAAAATCAAGAAATATCTATCTGTAGTTTTATTTAAAACATATGTCAAATCTGTAATTTTGTGACACTAAAGTGATATGTCACCGAAATGCAAAAATATTAGTTAATAACTAATATTAATAAAAATACAATTAAAAAAAATTACAAACCTGGAGGAATGAAATCTTCTTTTGTATAGTGGTGAGAGCAAACTCGCATACCTATTATTAGTAATAACTGTCTTTCCCATTTTTAATTTAATTATCCAATCTGTTCTTAGGCCTGTAAAGATCTTACCTTAAGTCCGGTGGCACTAAACACTTTATTTTAATAGAATATTTTATAATTTATTTTTAAAAATATTTAATAGTTTCTGTATCACGAAGCTGCTGTCCCATATTACGAGCTGCTGACGTAATTTGCTATATTATTGCATCATTCGATGTAAACCAACCATTTTATATAATTTTCGAATCGTAATCTGGCTTAGAAGGATCATGTTGTGAGACCTGTAAGGATCTTACCTATACAGACTGTATCCATGTTTTTGCAAGCTGTCTGCTTTGGGTTAACGATGATAGAAAGAAAAGAACACGTCTGAATTTAACAGTGTTTAATTTTACATGAAGAACACCACACTACATTTTATTAATTATTTACACTATGTACACATGTCTTACTCAGATCATTTATAACTTGGTCGCCATTAGAGCGTGAATTTTTACCCAATTGTCGATGTGTCTGTTAACATAGTTGAGACGAGTCTGAAGGACACAAACCTTTCTTTGAAGTGCATTTTCCATTGTTCCATAAAACTGAGCTGTGACATCAGGATCACAGACTTATATAGCTCCCTTAACCCTTCTCGAACCGTCCAAATGTTTCTTGACACAAAATGATATTTCTAGACTGTTCCCTCTTCTTCTTTTATTCTTACTTTTAATTATGACAATTAGTTTGACAGAATTGTCATTCATTTAAAATTTAATTGAATGAATATGAAATAATATTCGTTCAGTTTTTTAGTTTTATAGTCTGTGCGTAGATATTAGATCCATGTGGGTTAGGGTTTTTTTATATGTTAATTTATCATGTTTTGAGACCCTCCTAAAAGGACAGCTAAAAATTTGAGATTTTTTTCTTTTTTGAGGCACAAAATTCTACTGTAACGAGCAAAAAAATTTGAAAAAAATTTTTGACTAATTTTGAAAGTTTTAAAAATCTTGAGAGATCCCTAAAAATTTTTTTTCTACTGCCTTTTGGAGGGATCTTAAAACATGATAAATTAACATATTTTCGTACGAGTTAAAAAAAAATAGTCGGTTTTTTTGCGCCACCCTAATGTGGTGTAGAAATTTTTTTTTTGTGGATTAGACAGCAGTCGAAACTTGTGAAAAAGAACCAAATGCGTGTGAAATAACAAAAATTGTTATGAAAGGACTAAAAGGTCAACTGCTATAAGCGTTTCTGTTGTTTTGGAGAATTTAAAAAGTGTTACTCCTGCTGATTTCTCAAAAGAAATTGACACAAGTATGGTAAGGAAAAGGGTCGAGCTTTAAAACACAACTAAAAGAATTGTGACCGGATACTACTTTTACGACAGGAGTATCATAAAGGAAGCGAAATGTGGAAAATTCTACAGGAAAACTGTTGTCGACGAACATATTTTAGTCGTAGTCACTGGCAAAAGACGTTTTTACAGTTAGATGAGTCTAGACTAATACCCATGTTTGGCTCAAGTATCATATTTTCAGTCAGAATATCTCCATTTTTTCAATTTCTAATTTTCTATGAACTTTTTTTTTCCTCAGTATTATAGTCTTTAAAATAAAAAGATACTATAAATATTGACTTTGATTATTTTTTTTTGTACTTCAAGCACATTATTGAGCATTTGTGATAATAACAATACTATTTCTATAATTCACCCCCCTACCGTTTCCATTATTATTAATTTAATGATATATTCTTAAGCTCCGGATAGAATAGTAGATGTGGCATCGAGGCATACAACTTGCAATATCGGAAATATTGGAAGCGTGCGGTGGCGCTTGCGCTTGATAATGCATTATTATCGGTTCATAATCAATCATGTTGTAATAGAAAATCTGGCCAATCAATTTCCGGACCTGGGCCCGGGGAATCGGGGCCCTCGCCGACGCCGCTACAGGCCCGTATTCACGGATTTCCCATCGCTGGATCATCACAGACTCTAAAATGCTCCTTCTTGATTGTAAAGCAACAAGATGACATGAGAGAAGATTTGGATTTTTAGATTTTCTGTTACTTAAAAGCACATGGCGCGCTAATTCGCTAATTGGTAAAATATTGACGCTACATAAAAAAAAAATATAGAGAAGATATTTTTACAATTCATCAAATTTCTAGAGGTGTTCGACGCCCAGACAGAGAACGCGCTACGTGTGACTAAGATAGCTATTGTACAGTCTGCTAAACAAGTTATTTTAAATAGTTTTTAATATTTTTAGGTAATTAAATTTTAAAAGTGTGGAATAGTTTAGGGATTAAATTGGTCTGATTGGACTTTCTTAGAACGTTTTTAAAAGCAGCTAAAGATAGTATGTAGAATTGAAAATAATTATTATGCCATAAAAGGTGTTTTGGAATTCCTTCAACCTTTTGAAATTAAGTCAGAAAATATAAATTTTATAGGATAGCGGAAAATACCTATAATTTTTTTGTAGGCCTTTGTAAATCGTGGAAATAGTTTATATTTTATTTCTACCTTATTAAGGAAAATGGTACCTATTATTAATAACGGTTGTTTCTGAAACATTACTAAAATTTTCGAAATTTTGTTTTTCTACAAAATAATAAACTATACTATTTAGAAAAAAATTTATTTCTCTTATAATTTTATAAAAAATAACAGGGGAATATTTACATTTCTTGATCAAATAAACAAAACGATAAATTATCTCGACGAATGACACCATGTTCTAGTACGGAAGCTAGCTTTACATTTTTGTTGGTGGTTTCATGGGTTTCATATCAATTTTTTGTAATTATTGTAGTTTACACGTACATATACCTCTTAACACTTGTTTGCTTTATTAAAAAAGTGTGTTGTTGTGATTTACGTCGAAATAAGTCAAAAACAACTTGAAATCCCATATAAAATCAAAAAGGA